TAATGCTGAATAGACAGCCCCTCAGCAGCAGAATGCAACTCACAATTAAAATTTTTCTTCCCAATTGTTTTTCAATTCTTTCAATGTATTTGATTAATTGTCTTATTAAACTGGGGGCACTGAATTTGTCGATGTTATGTAACATTTTTGTGACTTTATGGAAGCTTGTTTGCATTGAAAATATTGATTAAAATGAAAGAACTTAAATAATAAAATTTCAAGTTCGAATAATCGGATTTTTTGAGTTTCAAGTTCAAAATAACAGCATTTTTGAGTTTGAATTTTAAATTAACGGATTTTTTGAATTTCAAGTTCAAAACAACGAGCTCTTTAGATTTAAAGTTCAAATTAACGACATTATCAAACGTTCAAAACTCAATTAACATTTATTGAACTTAACTATTTAAATCTTAACTGACAATTTCTTATTAAGAAGTCCTTCCTTATTACTTTAATTACAAATCGACTTAACAGCTCAACTTTATTATGCAAATTCACTCTTGAAATATTTTTATTACTATTAAAATTGCTCATTTTATAAAGTTGTAATTTTTGACCTTTAAAATGTCTTACAAGAAATAAAATTAATTCGATTCGATTTACAGAAGCTGAATTAAAATTGATGCAGAAAAAAATAATTTAATATTTAATTTTGCAATGAGAACAAAAAAGTAATAAAATTCCGGAAAATCAAGAAATTAATGCACTCAAATTCCGATTTTAAACAATTCGAGTTTCTCGTTCCGTAGCTGACACAAGTGAAAACAGAATGTGCCACAATCAAGGTCATTATTCTATTGCGCGAAGTTTCATTTCTTAACTTTATTGTCCGTAACAAGTTTGCTAAAATTCATGTAGTAATTTAAGAAATTCAAATTCGCCAAAAAAAAAATTGTATGTTTGGATGTCGTAAATGCCTTGCTCTTGATAATTCAAAAGATATGTACGAGAGCGTTGTCGAGATCAATCGGAAATTGTGCGCGCAATAGCCGTAGCTTAAATGACTTTTTTTTTTGTTTCAGACAATATACTTGATGTATATCTTTATCGCATGCTGTGAGGAATTTCCGTGATAAATTTTTAATGTCATAAAAAAAGCATGTTTAAAATAGAGGATGTGGATGAAGAGAGTGCATTATTTTGAGGGATATTATCAGTTCTATGAATTTATTAAAGAATTTTTTGACACTTGGGACTGATTTTACGTAATTCGTAACCAGTGACTTTTTATTTCTCGGCTGAGGCTGATTTTAATAGATCCTTTTGACAAAACCATGGCTGAACCAGCCAGCCAGACATCCTGGCCCTTCCTACCCTTCTTCCCAAACTGAACACACCAAACCCCTCATTACATCCTCAAAAATTATTATTCACAGACCAGAATGGAAATGCTGAAGGTGAAATGATTAAAATTCATTTCCAGTCATTTTCCTGAGACTAAAGCATTACTGAAAAAATAAAAATAAATCATTTATGTTGGCTCTCGACTAGCAAAAAAAAAAGTCATGGCGAGGGGATTCAAGTGAGTGTGATTTATGGAAACGCAATGTGACAATAAATATTCTTTTCGTATTCACACAATAAACGCACTGTACAGTTGACTTGAAATTAGAACAGACATCGATGAACAAGATATGCTGGATGTGAGTTGTGCATTAGAAAAAAATTATATGAAAATGATGAATGACAAAAGTCGATAGGAAATTGAATGTTCTGTGATTTGTGAGAAATTCAAACTGCGTGATAAATTAAGATTAAATGCGTGAGAACTTAATCGCCGTGAAAAATTTTTTTAAATCGATGCAAAAATAATTTTTATTTGCTTATTGTGTCATGCTTTAACTAATTTATTTGCTTTTGTAATTTGCATTTTAAGGAAGCTTTATTTGTAGCAATGACAATTGGCACAGTAATATTTGACATTAAACTCTTAATTAAAAAGTGTGAATAGCGGAGGTCAAACGCCTTTGCGGACATGTTTTGAGTTGAGCAAGAAGTGGAGCAGGAATGGAGTGTTTTTTATGTGAGCTTTTTTTAAGCCTGTAATCGAATTTTTTTGGTTTTGATATGAATTTATTAAAGTAGTTCGAAGTTTTGAGGGTTAGTGAACTAGTTTGGAGGTTAGATTGTCATTCCTCTACCTCTATTTAAAGATATTTGATTTTAATCAACCTGTTAAAAACTTAGTAGATCTCCTTAGATATTGTCAAGCCTAACTGAACATTAAAAGACCCAAATAGACCTTACTAACCCATCTTTTATTTTGTAGAACCCCATTGAACCATTTAATACTTTATTTAATCACCTAATAATCTCGTATAGCTTTCCTGACCAGCGTAGAAGACTTCATTAAACTATTTTGACACCATTGGTTTACTAGAGACTTCCATGTAATGATTTTGAACTTTTTTCATCTATATTTTGAATCATTTTATACTTATTTGCTATAAAAATAGAAATCAGGCTGTAAAGTAGCTTAATATAAATGATAATAATAAACATACTTTAAATAATTCATAAAATTCTTAGCCAGACCCGGAAGAATCGCCAAAAAATTACAACCAATCAATCATACTTAATATTCTCACGTAAAAATCATTTACAACTTCTTGAATAGCCCCAATAAAAAAATGTAACAAGCTTTAAAATTCTATTCATCGATTTTTATGTAAACGAACCAAATAAACGACATTGAGACTGCTAATTGCTTTCGTCATATTCAAAACATTTACATTCATATGTTTCCACATAATATTAAGACACTAAGAAGCTGTTAATGGTTCTAGATCATTTAACTTAATGATTCCAATATGTCAAAACACAATTTTCAATGTAGCTTTACATCTGTAACTTATCTTAAACGCGCTTCCTTTTTTTCTGCTAAATCAATAAATACATCGAAAAACAAATTAACAGAAAAAGAATCACTGCAGATATGCGAGCGTAAAAGTTTTGAGTAGCACAAAAAAAAAGGCAGCACATTAGTAGTCAATTTGCATACACATGTCAGAAGGAACATCGACCGGTGCCTAACAACTCTTCTTTTTTCGTGTGCTATACAAGCTTTTTTATTTCTTGGAACATGCAAGAATTTTCGGTGCTTTATATTCATAATGAGCTTTCATTGCCATAAAATTAAATTTCTCGCAATTTTAAATGCAATTCTGTTTACTTTTACTAGACAATTTTTGTTGAATTTTAAATTGAAAATTTCGCTGTGATTTTATTTTTAAGGTAATTATCAATTATTTCTGTTCATGCACATGGGACTTTAGTTTAGTAAATGAAAGTGTGAATTGATAATTTAATTGTGGGATAAAAATGTTTACGGAATGCTTTAAAATGTCTGATTTTATTAGTATTTTGATGGCTTATAGCAAGCAGGAACAATTCTTAAAATGCAAACTGGAGCTTAACAGCTGATATTTAGATTTTACGATATAATGATTTATTGATGGATAGTCTATATTTTTTTATTGATGGATTATTGCAAATCTTTTATGACACTCGTGTATTTGATTAAGGATTTTAGCAATTTGGCGAATACAAATCACATTCGTTGTTTTGGTAGGAACAAGAACCAGGTTGTTGGATATTTGTCAGCAATGGGGGAGAATTGTTGTTCAAATTTTGAGCAGGGGCGTAGCCAGGAATTTGAAGAGGGGGGACAAAATCCCCCCCAAATCCCCCCCCCTGGTTAATCGCTTGGCCAGAGGGGCTTAAAACATTTTTATCAGATTTCTTCTCGAACTTTAAAGTTCTTATTTTGTGAACCTGACGCTTCAAAACCTTGTCGACCCAATTGTAAGAACCTCTAGATTTAATACCCTATAACGGCCATAAAGCCTTTGTCATTCCATATCTAGTAACAAACATTATCTCATAAACTCAACCTAATAAATCATCAATAATTCTCTTCCTGAATTTTAAGCATCCAAATTAATGATCTCATCACTTTTAATCCCCAATAAAAAATGCAAAGCCATAATAAGTGATATTCTAATGCTCACCATATACAATAAATCACCTCCGTAAACCTTCTTCATTATCAAAACATCGCAAGATGCTTATCTCTCACGTTTTATTTTACAGCACACTGATCATTGCCAAGTTTACTTTTTCTTTTCATTTTCACGCAGTTTAGCTTGAATATATGACATGGTAGCGTGTCGAACGATGAGCACAAGTGATAGTGAAAGTGAAAATTTTAATGAGGAGGTTATTTGGCCTTAACATATGCTGATCACAGAGTTATTATTAAAAACCACAACAAATTGAATGACATTTTATCGAAAGATAAATTTTAGGCTAATTTGGTGTTAATTGGCGTTGCCATTTTCGGCTTATGTACAAAAAGAAGAATTCTTTTGATAATTGAATTAAAATATAAACTATTAATAATAAATCTTTTTCACATGTAATTTGCAAAACTCTCTTTTCTGTCATGCTAAATTATCATGAATATCGAAGGTAAAGCTAATTAAGATATTTTATTTTTTTTCGGGGGAAGGTCAAAAGAATTAATGAGAATCATGCACGCCAAATTTTTAACGGCAATCATTCAACTTCTTTCAAGTTCAAAAATGTTGTATAATAAATATATAAAAATATACACAATATGTAATAATAATAAGGTGGGTCAGTTTTAGTAAAAATATAAATTTTTGGAAAGTTTTTGAATATAATTTTCATAAATTGTGTGAAATGCTTTGCGGAAAGCTATCTGATGGGCAGGGTTCTGGTATTTAAATATAAGAGGGGCTTGTGATAGTGGCAATGTGCACGATCAACATGTGACGGATTAAATTGCACTTAGAGACATTTTAATTAAATATGTGACAGCTTAGATTCCTTAGCTTATTTAAGAACCGGTTATCATCCCCCAACTTCAGTAATTCCATAAAAACTGGTTCAAAGCTTGTCAATTTCACATTTTAACACTAAACTAGACCCAACCTTATCAAAATCAACAATAAAAGTATTTTAAAAAAATAACTCACGTCTTTGATCCTTTCATAGGTAACTCCTTGGCTTGCATTTGCATCCGACCGAACATGCCACATTTTCAATGAATTCGGTCCGTCACGAAACAGACCCTCTGTGGGCTTTAATGTTAAATTTAAATTCTCACCGAATGCACTAAACGATACATTATGCTCATTAATTTTCTTTAAATCATAATTATGAAAACTTTTCTTTTCCTCATAACTTATACTATTGCTATCAAATGGTATTTTACTCAAATCTTTCTTCACATGATGATTATTTTTGCTTACAACTTTTGATTTACCACTACTTTCACTTACTACACTAGACACTTTATTATTTTTATCCAATAAATTATCACTATTTATGCTACGTCTATTGATACTGTGATGATTGTGTGACAAATGATGATTTAACGACACTATTTCATAATTTGGCACTAAATCTTTATGATCCACATGAAAAACTTCTTGAAGTTGTGATTGTGTCATTTTATGATGAATCTGCAAATAAAATAAAAAATTATGAAACATTTTAATTAGTTAATGTACATATGTTGGTACGACAAAATTTATGAAGTAATAAAAAGTCAGTCTTATGAGACTCTACAAATTATTACTTGTTGAAGTCATTAAGTTTATTAAATCTTCTGTTTATATATCCCTTCTTCTTATTGAATTTAATACTCGTATGATAATTAAAACTATTTTGACTCACTTCGGCTATTAAACGAGCATAAAAAAATCATAAAATTTTTATTTTTTGCTAGCTATTTTTTAAGTTGTTTGATGTTTTATGAAAATTATGTGAACGTTTAATGACTTTTTTTAAGGGTTGAATCAGCTGTAGTTTATGGATGTTTATGTTAATTGTTGGGGTGCATGAATATCATAGCTAGATGTGTTTCCACTTATTAAAATTATTTTTTTCTTAAATTGAAAGCTACAAAATAAATTCACATCACCACATGACCCCTAATAATCCATCGCAATAAACTTTATACCAAATCTATGTCATGACATTTGCAATAACCAAATAGCAAAAGAAGAAATGCTGCCAATAAAAAGTTTTAGGACGTTATCAGAGGACCAACATCAGTAATTATTCATTTGACATTTCACAATCAATAAAACTCAAAATTGAGCTGCTGATGATGCTTCTTTTTTTTATGGATTACCAAATTTGACATAGTCTTGTGAAATATTGCATGGTCTTTAAGATCTCTATCGATAGCTCATTAGACACCTCTCATAAAGAAAATTATGGAAAAAAAATCACATACAACCACAAAAGTAATTTTTAACCTTCCACCCTCAATACTGTCATCATTTTTATTTGACATAGACATGAACCTAAAGTCTACTATAACAATCTATTGTGAAATGTCATGAGATGGCTTTCATAAATGTAATGAAGATGTGATGTCTTTCTTTCTTTTTTTTGAGCCATTAATTTCATTATTATTGTCCAATATACCACATTGTCACGCAAGGCCCAATGTCAAATGGTAGAAAAGGGAATTTTTCTTTGTGATGTAATTTTTTTTTGTGGTGGATATTGTTTGGAACAATGGAAGTGCTTATTTGGCCTAACAGTGTTCAATTAAGATTAGATAATCTGTTCTGAGGTGTATTGATGGGCTTGGAGGTGAGGTAAAGTTGGTAAATTATGTGGGAAATTAATTAATAGCTTTCTTATCTAAAAGTTTTCGAATTGGAACAAATTGTTCTTGGTTTGGGGGTCAGTGTGCTTTCTATATTGACATTGAAGGGTATATGCCTTTTTAACAATTAATTTCTAATTTTAGGGGTCTCTCCTAGAAATGTCAGTGCCAAATTTAAAATTTTATCTTCAAAATCCACAAAAATCCATCAAAACTATGCTTAAAGTTCAAACAAGCATTTCATTAATAACTCTCAAAAAATCGTCAAACCAACGAAAAATTAAATCTCTTCAAAAATATCTCAGAACATCCGCAAGTGGCTCTAAGAATCAAAATGTCATCAGTCTTTCCTATCCGTGGACAAAAAGCCACAGTCTCGAAAATAATATTTAAGTTGATTGATGCAAACATGTGATTATAATCCACTAGTAACCTTGGCTATTCTCTAAAACAGTTTCTAATGTCGGAATCTAAAAACGTGTGAGCAATTTGCAGCAACCACAGGATGTCCTCCTCATCTTGAAAACGAAATGAGTTGGCTTGTTCAGTAATTACATAATAAAGTAGAATAAATAGCAACACATTACCTCAAGTGATTATTATAACCCACATAAATAATTCAGTTTATATAATATCACTTTACGGCTAACTCGGTTAAATTAAATTACTTTAATTATTTCTCTTTTGCCTCTCTTTTACTTCCATATTAAATCTACTTTTAGTTCAATATTTATTTATTTCTGCTTATGCTTGACATTTACCAGCCGTATTTGACATTTATCGAGCGACTTTATAATCTTGTTAATATAAATTTTTATTGTTTGCAATAAAAATAAAATATCGAAGAAAGTGAGGAGCTGTCTCGACCAATGTTTTGATTGATTTCTTTGAGCTTTGATTGATTTTTTTTTTTTGGTTTCATAATTTTTTCTTACGTTTTGTTTGCAACTGCATAATAAATGGATCGGCTTTTTAACTTCTTCTTTAAGATGCTTGTTTAACCAAAATATTTTCGCTCATGATTGTTGAGGCTTTGTGAATTCCATCAATAAACTCTTAGGTAATGTGCTTTAAATGAGATCAAAACTTTTTTTGAATTGAGCACTTGTTGCAAAAATAATTTATTGTTGTAACAACTTTTGCATGATTTTTTGATGATTTTGACATGATCTTCGAAATCAGAAGAAATTATTTAACTGAACGTACTTTTGAAGCAACCAATTATTTTCCTAACCGCACTTTTGAAGCAAAGAATTATTTTACTGAACGCATTCTCTTTAATTTTCAGTCGCACTTTTAAAGGAAATTAAAATTGCTGAACGTACTCAAGACACAAATCAGATTTTTTGAACGCACCAAAAAAGAAAACTTTAGTACCTAAACGTACTCAAAAAGTGAATTAGATTTCCTGAACGCACCCAAAAAGAAAATTTTATGTTATTAAACGTACTCAAGAAGCGAATTAGATTTATTGAACGCACCCTAAGAAGAAAACTTTAGCTACTAAACGTACTCAAGTAGCAAAAGTAGCTACTAAATTTATTAGCAGCAAGAAATCCTCCAAATCTTTTCATTTTGCTTACATATCAAAAATTAAATGTTACCAAGATCACAAAAGACAATTTAGCAAGCAATTAAGACATTTCATCAAAAACTAAAATGATCCGCAAATTGCTTTCTTTCACTTTCATTTCTCTCATGTTTTTTTGATCTCATCATCATGGAGCATCAAAGCATACAAGTTAGATTAATCTCTGCGTATGAATGACTGTTACATAAAACTATTAAACTTTTCATCGTTGCCTCTTCTTCCTCATCTCAATGTGCTTCAAAATGTTATAATCGTTAGTTGTGGATTAAAAATTATAAATTTTTTTTCCATACAATCTCTCACATAATACATCACTTAGTGTCTAATTCGTGATGAATTCATTTATCTTTTATTTGTTTGTTAATCACGAAATTGGTTTTATGGTCACTAATCATTCAAATTGACTTTTAATAGAAAGAAAAATTGAGGGTGAAAAGAGTAATTTTATTGTAATTCAAACAACTTCTCTGAGTTATTCAACGAGGTAACTGCTCATTAGGGAATAATGAATATTTTAATTTGTGGGTTTCATTTGAATATATTTTTATGTATAAAAACTTTTTTTATTTGCTGTCAACAATAAAAAGAGTTTTGTGTCAGTTTTATGCTTTGAGAATCTGCTAATAAAAAGGAAAAAGCAACTTTCAGAAAACGTGGGGTTTTTTGAGCGACAACTTGGATATTAAAGGTATAAGACCACTCTTGTTTTGGCTCTTAAGTTCATTCTGTAATGTGGTATTGGAGCAGAGTGGAACTTAGGGTACTAAGCTAATAAAGCTTAATATGCCAAAGCGAGTGTTAGACCTGTGTGGCGCGAGTGGTCAGAAAATAGACTGAATATGTGTAACTCTCTTTTGTGTGGACTTGGGTTCGATTCCTACGAGCGACCGATCTTTCAATCATTATATAGAGTGCTGTCGATATGATAAGGATTCGCACGATGGCTCACGATATTCCAAATAACTTAAAATTCGCTCTTCATTCATAAACTTTCAAAATCAATCCACTTTCCTGAACACATCGCTTAAAAAGAAAAAGTCACATGAGTGCCAACAAAAAAGTCAATTTATCTGATCACCATACAAGCCCACCCTAGCTTAACAGTATGGATTAAAACTCATTCAGATATAGATCGCACCGACATAGCAAAATTGGAAATTGATACAAATTCAGAATATCTCTTACAAAAAAAGGCATAAAGTCATTTATTTAATGTCTAATACCTCGCCCACAGCAATTTAAAAAAAAAATTGAAACTCAGAATTTCGCTTTCAGTCATGAAATTACTAGTCGTATGCTTTAGCGGAAAATTGAAAGCGAAAGTGCTTTACCGGTTCAATGTGTTCGCGACATTAATTTTATTTCATTTTTTTTCTTCTCTTTCTCTCACCGCTATTGTGTATCTCACAGTTTATTCGAGACATGAAGGCACACACATACGCCATAAGTAGGAGAAAAAAAGAAGAAAGGCTGAAAGAAAGAGAGACGCCGTGCAAAGATATTTTACGAGTGCGAGATTAATGATGGTGTAATTTTGATATAATAGGTGAAAATTGAAATGTGTGTGAAAAATGTGCAACAGTCCTAAATGAGACATTCATTGGCAATTAACGGAAAGTCATTTTTTTGTGGTTGAGACATTCATTTATGATGTATCCTGCTTAAGGACTTGACATGAGTTGAAATATTTAAGGTGACGTAGTTTAAGGGATACAAAGTTCTAGTCTAGGGTTTAGTTCTTTAACTTATTTAAAAATGTTATTTCTCCAAACAGCCTCAAGTAGCCATAGAAATCTTCCTTAACATCCTCTATACACCTCACAGCCTTAGACCAAAACCTGGTAGTGGAATAACAAACTTTACCCTTTCTGCTAACCTCCAACATGCACATTCAAGTCTCTGGCAGGAGAAGCACTTGCAACAACTCTACACTAGTCACATCATTTTAGACAAACCCCCTTAAAAATACGACGAAATATTTCAGATTGCGTTATGACAACAAAAAAACCAGTTTATAGGGCAACATCTGTGTCACTTGCATTAATAGCAGCACGAATATGAAAAAAAATTGAAAGTTAAAGTAGTTTGGTTTACATTTAAGCGACAGAATTACCGTAGATCTCACTGTGTCATTAACTCAGCCCGACATCGACTTTTAATCGTGTTCTTTTTATTCTCTACATTCGTACAAAAAATAATATTTAATCTCGTAGTTTATGAATGTAAATAGCAACATTGAAGTATAGAAT